TTCTTGGCTACCATGATATGCTACATCATTAAAGGCATAAAAAGAAATGGTCACTCACTGGCCAGATGAAAGCTCTGAAAACCCAAAATAAAATATAACTGTGTTAAATTGTTTCAGGTATTTTGCTAGTGATGACAAGCTAAATTAATAATATTTTGAACACCTTTCTGTTCCTTAAAATATACAGAATTATTCATTAGCCAATCTTCTCCCCCCCACCAATAGTGCTAAGGATTAAACTCAGAGGCTTCCTCATGTTAGGCAAATACTCTACCATTGAGCTACAAGCCTAGACCTAATCTTTTGATATAGAACCACAATTTTTTTTTCTCTGAATGTAAGTCCACAGTTTTCATCATGTTTTTCTTAACATGAAATGTTTTTCTTAACACAATGAAATGTCCTATGATTTCAAGTTTCACATTATCTAAAAGAGAAGAACAAGATAAAGACACTATCCTCATTTGTTTTTGAGTTACTTGGATAAATACTATGACCAAAACAATTTAGGGAAAGAAAGGGTTTATTTCATCTTACACTTCCAGGTAACAGTCCCTCACTAAGGAAAGTCAGGACAGAAACTTGGAGGCAGGAATTACAAAAGAGGCCATGGAAGAACACTGCTTACTGGATTGCTTCCCCTGGCTTATTCAACTAGCTTTTTTATACAACCCAGGCCCACTCTTCCGGGACTGTACCTTCTCTCTCAGTGGACTGGGCCCTCCTACATCAATCAGCAATCAAGAAAATGCCTCAGAGACATAGCCACAGGCCAACCTAATCTTCAATTAGGATAATTCTTCAATTAAGGTACCTTCTTCACAAGTGTGTCAAGGTTAAAACCAAGATTACCAATCACAGACATTAACAAAGTATTCTGAATACAAAGTATGTCTAGATGTTTATGGTTTATCATTCTTTATACCTGGCTTATCCATAATTAATTTTAGTCCAATAGCATTTTTTTTACAAATCAATTTGGTTTTTTCAAATTACTTTCAAATAGATCATTCTTTAAATATTAGACAATTCTTCGTTTTCAGTCAACTCTTTTCAAGCTCACTATTCCTATTTAACATAACAGATTAAGTAATTTTAATATAAAATGTAATGACCATAATGAGGATGTTGATGGCACATAATGCAACTGAAAGGAGACACAGCATAGCACGCTAATGGGTAGCTGGTTAGCTTTGGGTGTTCAGGATGTCATGGCGGTTAGGTAAACAGCAAGCACACTGACTCTCTTCTCCATTCCCCCATATGCCAACACCCACCATGCTTCTGTGCATGCAGCTCATTCTGCTGGCCATGTTCTACTGCATGGCTGGTCAGAAAGCTCTGTTTCACTTTTCACATGTCATTCAAGTGTTATCTCTCAGTGAAGTCTCTGTTGATCACCCTAACCAAGAGTTTATGGGCAGACTCACATACAAATTACTTATCATGTTTTTTTTTTCCTTCCTAAGTTACTAAACACAGTAACAATCTTAATTATATGGATGTTTATGTCTCTGTTCACTAAAACAAAAATTTCACTAGAACACAAGCTTCCTCCATTTTGTTCACCACTCTTTTCTTACTAGCAAACACAAGATCATTTACTGAATGAAAATATGATCCGAATCAGTAAGCACCAGCTACAGATATTAAATAAGAGATGCAGTGATATTTCTAAGTGTAAAAATCCTAACCTAGAACTGGAGAGATGGTTCAGTGGTTAAGAACACTGACTGCTCTTGCAGAGGACCGACCCAGGTTTGATTCCTAGCACCTACATGGTGGCTACAAACTGTCCTTAACTCCAGTTCCAGGGGAATCTGAAACCCATTTCTGATCTCCGCAGCATTGCACAACACAGATGCACTTACTTACATGTAGGCAATACACTCATACACATAAAATCAAAATAAATAAAATATTTTTTAAAATACTAACCTAATGTGCACAACAAGAACTGTGTAACAATTTCATAGTAGCTTTATTCCTAATAGTAAAAAACTAGAAATAACCAAATCTTCAACAGGGGAATACAGAAACAAGTTATAGTATATACATTTTAGAAAATGTTCCTTAGTGATTTTTAAAAATATCTTATCTGCCAGGTGTGGTGGCACACGCCTTTAATCACAGCACTCAGGAGGCAGAGGCAGGTAGATCTCTGTGAGTTCAAGGGAGACCCTGTCTCAAAAAGACCAAAAAAAAAAATTTATCCATAATTTTTGTTTTACTGTGTATGCAAGTGTACCCCTGTCATACAATGCCTGTGGAGGTCAGAGGAAGGCAACAGATCCCCTGGAATTGGAGTGATGGATGGTTGTTAGCCATCATGTAGGTGTTGGAAACTGAAACCAGGTCCTCTGAAAGTGTAGTCATTGTTCTTAACCACTGAGCCATCTCTCTAGCTCTTGTTTAGTGATTTTTTAAAAAAGGAACCAGCAATACAATGTCTTAAAAACATTTTGTGAAAAAAAATAAATGGCAAAGTGTGCATTCTACATGACATAGTAACACAAAACATTTATGGTGATAAACATTAGAATAATGGCTATCTATATAGGTTAGGGATCAACTGAAAAGAACAAAAGAGCTGGAAATGTTTTTGATCTTGATAGACTTTGGTTACATGGGTGAATACAATTATAAAAAACAATAAAACTATACAATAGATACAATTTTTTTGAAACAGGGTCACACTATATGGCCTGTGATCTACCTGCTCAACCTCCTGAATACTAGGATTACAGACAGGCAAACCTGACTACTCATAATTCTTTTTAAGGGCAAAAAGCCCTAAATTGGTTCACCTAGATATCACTAGAATGCAGAAACACAAAAATATGATTACACTACACCACCTTTCATCAAAAGCTACATAGTAATTCGACCATTTGTCTCCTAAATCCCTATTATTATAAAGCAAAAAATTAGATTTAGACCATATTATTTGAATAATTGTCTCATGAGGAAACTTAGTGGGGCAGTAGTTATTACTGAGAGATGACTGATTTTTGCACTTTAATACAATCATACAAAACTATGAAGATGGATCAGCGGTTAAAAGCACTGACTATTCTTCCAGAGGAAACAGGTTCAATTCCAAGCACCCACATGGCAGCTAACAACCACCTATAACTCCAGTTTTAGGGGATCTGAAGCACTCTTCTGATCTCTGCAGCACTGCACAACACAGGTGCACTCACATACATGCAGGCAATACACTCATACACATAAATAAAAATAAAATATTTTATAAATAGTGTGACAGAAAGCACAAACCAGTTTATGAGCCATTCTAGAAGGACTAAATGATACAGAATACTGGTGAGATGCTAAGGGATACCAAATGATCACATGACCTGAGACACCAATCATGAGAAATATGCTAATGATGTCAAGCTATAGACTGAAGAATGCTGTAGATTTCAATTTCTTTCTACTTTCAAAACAGAAACATGAAGAGCCAATATATGAAATGCAACCAAAGAACATACTGGAAAAAGAAACACAGACAGCATGTAAAGGAATACATATGAATCCATTATGTATATGCCTTAATATTAACACTCTATTCTCTGAGAACCATGATAGAATCACTGTCGAGAAGTGTGAGGACCAAAACAGCAGTCATGTGGCATAGGCAGCTACTGAACAAGTGAAATGAAGCAAGGGCAAACAAGAAGCTGAATTTCTTACTTTAGTAAATTTGAATGAAGTTTCTATTTAAAACATATTCATATTCATATTTCTATTTAAAACTGGAATGTTTTAAGCATGCTTATAATAACCATGTAAATTTGCTTTTCCAACAGCTAATTTATTATCATTTATATGTGGGAGTGTGTGCATGTATGTGGGTGTGCACACGTGCCTGGGTGTGTATGTAGAGGTCAAAGAACAACTTACTTTCTTTTTTTTTTGACACAGAGTCTCCCTGTAGCTGGGATCAAAGGCATGTGCCACCATGCCCAGCTGTTTCTTTGGTGGTCTTTTTTGAGTCAGGGTCTCCCTATAGCCTCAGCTGGCCTGAAATTTGCCATGTAGACCAGGCTGGTCTTGAACTCAGAGATCCACATGCCTCTGCCTCCCAAGTGCTGGTACTAAAGATATACCACACTGGGTTTATTTGCTTGTTTGTTTGTTTAACAACTTTCATAAGTCTGTTCTCTCATCCATCATGTGGGTCCTCGGATAGAATCCAGGTTGTCAGGATTGATGGCAAGTGCCTTTACCCAATGAACCATCTTGACAGCCATCAACAATTAATTTTTGTGAAACACAGACGCAGATCCAGTATTCTCAATGCAACTCTAATGTCTTAATTTAGATGTATAAAAATAAAAACTGGTCGAGCATGGTGTTGCATGCCTTTGATCCCAGCAATCGAGAGGCAGAGGCAGGCAGATCTCTATGAGTTCAAGGCCAGCCTGGTCTCCATAGTGATTCCAGGCCAGCCAGGGCTACAGGGAGACCCTGTCTCAAAAAGACAAAAAAATTAATTTAAAAAATTGGTTTTGAAAACTTACCAAAAATATAAAATAGCTCATTGTTAACTTTTCCACTGATTACATTTCAAGGAAGTATTTTAGATTCAATGACTTAAAATATATAGTATTAAAATCAATTTCACTTGTTCCTTTTTACCATTTTACTTTTATTTTTTAATTTTTTAAAATTATATTTATTTATTTGTGTGTGTATATTTCTATGCATGTGTGCACATGAGCAAGTGAATGCCATGGTGTACCTGTGGAAGTCAGAGAACAACTTGTGGGAGTCAATTCTTTCCTTACACTACTTGGTCCTGGGCTTTAAACTCAGGCTGTCAGGCTTGGCAGCAGGTGCCTTTACCTGAAAAGCCATCTCATCAGTTCCATTTTACTTTTAAAATACATATATTATATTTCTACTGAATAGCGCTGTTCCAAAGCTTATACATCCAAAGACAAGTTATCAAGATCACTATTACATGTTAATTGATATTCCAAACACCTCCTGACCTTTTCACTTGATTGTCTTCTTTTCTTTAGTTGAATGAAATCTGTTTCCACCCTTTCTGCCAGCTCTAGTTTTCTCTTGTTCCTTTTAAATGCAGCTAAACTGAATCCTACAAAAGAAAACAGTAAAAATATTTGAGAATTAGGGCAACAAAGCAAATGAGATGTCCTGAACAGTTTCCCCACACAAAACTCTGAAGAATGTCAAACTAATGATTTTTTAAGGTCTTCCCAATGTACCCTGACATAACAGGAAAACAAAACACAATAACTTATGTTTTAAAAATAAAGAAAAAGACCAAACCAGAGAGAAAATTGAGTTCTGAAGGTAGACAGTGCCCAGGAGCCTCTGATGATGCATAAGTCATGTAGGTCTCTGTGCACAGGGACAAGACATGAAGCTTGGGAGCAATGGAGCATTAGAAAGTATACTAGAGATTAACCAAAAAAAGGAGAGAATACCAGAGTTTGATATACTCATGAAAGGTAAAAACAAGCTACCCCACTCTAAGAAATAAGGTCTAAAATCTGTCTCTAGATGCAAGGAAGGAAAGGTCTCTCTAGGAAATTCATAACTAAGAAGGGCACTAAGGCAAGGCAGAGAAAAAAATTGTATTACCCGTATCATCTGAGGGGAAGAAAAAGTAATCTCAGTGTATTGAAGATGTACCTTCATGGTTAACCTGATTGGATTTAAAATCACCACGGAAACATGCCACCCCTGGCTGTATCTATGAGGGTATTTCCAAAAGGCTTAACTGGGGAGAGAAGACTCACCCTGCATGTGGGCAACACCATTCCATGGGCTGGGATCCTGGGCTGAATAAAAAGGAGAAAGTGAGCTGAGCACCAGCATTCATCTCTCTCTGCTTCCTGACTGTGGATGTAATGCCAGCTCCCTCAAGCTCCTGCTTCCATGCCTTCCCCACCATGATGAACTGTATTCCCTTAAACGGTAAGCCAAAAACAGCTCTCTTCCATTAAGTTGTTTCTTATTAGGTATGTGGTCACAGGTCATCCAGACAGAAACCAATTTCAAAACATCACTGGGTTTGGTGGCTCACATCTATAATCACAGCACTTAGGAAACTGAGGAAATACATTGTACTAAATATGAGGCCATCCCATTTACTTCAAGGAGGAAATAAACAAAAACAAAAGAAAACAACAACAACAACAAAAAAAACAGCTCCGGGAGTTTCATGTAACAGCTACAGAATACACAAACTTCTCTTCAGCACAGGGATATTCTCCAATCTAGATCATATGCCAGGCCCCAACATAAGTCTCAAGATTTTAAAACTAAAATCATATCATTTATCTTCTATGACAATGCTGGAATGAAATTTAGAAATCAAGAAGAAAAATAGAAAAAAAACATGAAAATTAAATAATACACTTAGGAACAATCAATAAGGCACAAAAGAAATAAAAAGGGAAATCATAAAATCTCTTAAATAAAATGAAATGGAATCACTACATATCAAAACCTATGGAATACAGCAAAAGCAGTACTATAATGGGAGGTTATAGCAATAAATTCCTCTGTCAGAGATTTCAAATGAACATTCTAGCAATTCATCTCAAGGATCTGGAAAGTTAAACAATCAAATCCAAAAACAGAATAATGAAGGAAACAATAAATATCAGGGCATAAATACATGAAACATAGAAATAAATTATAAATAATTAAATGGAGAGCAGGTTTTTTGAAAGATAAAATCAGTAAGACTTTTGCTAAAGGGAAAAAAATAAAAACAAAACTAGAGATGAAAAAGGAAACACTACATCTAGTATCACAGAATACAAAGAATCATTTTTAAAAACTACCATCATAATTATATAATAACAAATTGGAAAATCTAGATGACATGGAAAAACCCTGGATAAATACAATATAACAAGATTGACTCAAGATAATATAAAAAATATAAACAGGCCTATAACAAGTAATGAGATTGAGGCAACAGTTAAGCACCCTATATGGGCTGAAGATGTACAACTCAGTGGTAAAGTGCTTGCCTAGCATGCATGAGGCTGGAGTTCAACCCCTACCACACTTTCCCGCCAAACATATAGGGGAGTCTCCCATCAAAGAAAGGTCCAGAACTTGAGTTTTACAAATAATTTAAAGAAATAATTACAATTCTCCTCAAACTATTTCAAATATAAATTGAAAAAGAAGAAACTCTACCAAACTCATTCTACTAGGCCAGTAAAATACTGAAACCAAAATCAGACAAAGGAAATCTTCCATGATAAACCATATGTATAACATATTAAGTCAGATGACATTTAAAATCCAAGGTGTCTGTTTTGAGTTTTGTCGTTGCTATGACAACACACGTGAGCAAAGCATAGGGGATGAAGGATTTATTTTGACTCAGGGTTACATAAGAACAAAAAATTAAACCCGCAGTGAAAAGAATGAGGAAATATTATAGATTGTAGTAGAGATAAATAAAATAGAACAGGAAAGTGTTGATAGATGATGAAACCATGTTAGTCTTTGAAAAAATTAACAAAATATTAGTTAAATTGACTAAGGGGGAAAAAAACTCAAAGCAGAAATCAAGTAAGACATTTCTACTGATTTTATAAAAGATATAAAAGAGACCTACAAATAATTGTACATCACAAAATTGGGTAACTCAAAGACATAAAACCTGACACATCTGGAACATGAAACTCTAAATCAACCCATAACTAGTAAGGAAATTAAATCAGCAATGAAAAAAACTTTTAAGCATGAAAATCCCTGATACTAGGCCTCTACTGAACAATATTACCAGAGACTTAAAAAACAATGAACAAGTTCAGGTATGGTGGAGCACCCCTGCAAGAACACTTCAAGGATCAGCCTCAACTACATAACAAGACCCTGAGGGCAGTGGACTAGAGGGAGACAGCAGAGAGAGAGGAATTCCAAAAGATTACATTTTATAAGACTTTTAAATTATCAAAATATTTATTTTGCGAGTCTGCACTCATGTGCATACTATGGCATGCATGTGGAAGTCAGAGAAACAACTTGTGGGAGTTGGTTCTCTCCTTCCACTGTGTGGGTTCAGGGGATTAAACTCAGGTCATCAGGCAGGGCAGCAAGTGTCTTTACCCACCAATCCATTTTGCTGGCCCTATGTAATTGTCTTAAGATGACAAAATCCATAAATAGATAATGTGTTTGTGGCCGCCACGGGGGTGAAAGCAGGAGAAAAGTGAGTTACATCATAAAAAGTCAACAGGAACAACCCATGTGGAGAGTGTGTGTTCTTGTCTCCTAACTGTATCAATGATGTCCTAATTGTCACAATGTACTATAATCTTATTACCACTGAGGGAAACAAGGCAAAGAAGAGATGGAATCTTTCTGAATTATTTCTTAAAACTGCATGAGAATTTATAGTATCTCAAAATAAAAACTGCAAAAACATCACACTTGGTCATATTAAAAGATTAAAAAACAGTACTCATATACCATATGTCAAATATTATAAAACACTACAATTAGGATGTTTTATATCATCCACGTTGTCTTTCAAGATGCCCTACTCCAAGGTGAAGAAAGTGAAGAAAACAGGATTCCTGTGGCATCAATGGCAATAACTGACAGAAACTAGCTACTTGTATAGCAAAGTATTTATGATCACCCTTCACGAAGAGAGGTAGGGGGATTAGTTTCCTTTAATTATCAACAAACGTGGTGAAATAACTACTGGGCTCATTTTTACATCGAGTGTTTCAACAATAGTGAAACAATGTTAATAGTGAACATCTGAGTGTTTCTATGTGCCAGAAATTGGAGTAGCATATTTTATAAGTTGCATTACATGAAAACATCTTCACACACATATACTAAGTGGATACATAAATGTAAATAAAAACTTTTTCTAAAGTTTAAGGTGATATATACGCAAATTAGCCTGATTTCATCTTTACTCAATGTATACAAGACTCAAGACATGACAATGGCTGGGCAGGCACAGTGGTACAAAACTTTAATCCCAGCACTCAGAAGGTAGGGGTAGGTGGATCTCTGTTAGAAGGGGTCAGCCTGGTCTACATAGCAAGTTCCAGACCAGCTGTCGCCACAGGAAGACTCTGTCTCAAAGAAATTTAACATAGTATTGTACTTCTTAAGTATGTTTTAAAAAAAGTCAATTTTTAATTTTTAAAAATAAATGTTTAATATATTTTTACAATATACATTTTCTGTGTTTGCTAATTTCTACTATCTATTGTTAGTAGTAGTAATTGATCTTGAGTGTCTAGATTAGGTTAGCTGAAGTAGGAACATCAACCCTAACCTAGGCAGCTCATTCATTTCACGTGCTGGGATCCAAGATTGAATACAAGGAGAAAAGGAGCTGAGCACAAGCATTCATCACTTTATGCTTCCTGACCTGGGACACAATGTGATCAGCCACCTCCAGTTCCTGACACCATGCCTTCCCTGTCATGAAAGACTGTATGCCCTGAACTGTGAATCAAAATAAACCTTTCCTTCCTACTTACTTTTGTCAGGTATTCTGTCACAGGAAAGAGACAATTAACCAACACAGGAGGAAGGAAAGGGGGAGGAAGGGAAGGAATAATAGTATTTGCATTATATTTGTTTATACCACACGCTTAGAAAGCACAGGTTCCATCTCCTGTTAATGAAGGAGTTCATTATATTGAACTAACCTACATGCCAATAAGAATCATAAACCATAAAAACTCTTTTAAAAGGAGACTGTCCAAAACATAACAGAATTAGAACAGAATTCAAACACTGAAAGAAGCCAAACGTACTAGTTGAGACCCATAATCGTTAGATTCCCCATAAGGTACCTACCATTCTATGAGAAACTTAAGCAGCAAACTCCATCCTTCTTGACTAGAGGTGATGGAATTGGAGCTAATAAAGTAGCTAGAAATTCAAGAAGCAACATGGAAAATAAACTATTAAACCTAAAATTCCCCCCTTAAATCCCCTGATGAGCCCACCCAATTCATACAGGATGCAGGATCCTATACATCAAGTAAGAGACACCAACTAGAAAGCTAGCAGATTCTATGGAAAATACAATGATAGAAAAGTCAGGTCAAGTACTGAGACTTCCAACAA